TTGGTAAAGGCAAGAGGAAATAGATTAGGCTTTCTTTTTTTCTTCAAAAAATTTAAAAAGTAAATATATATATTTATCGGTCCAGTCCGGTCCAGTTCGGTTCTCACCCTAGAATCGGGAATCGGACCGCCCGGAAACCGGTTTCACTTTTAGGAACCAAACACCGGACCGATACTCTCGAGAACCGGACCAAATCGGTCAGTCCGGTCTGGTCCGATCCGATCCCGATTTGGGCGGTCAATCATGCTCACCCCTAATGTAAACGATATCGCCCTACGACTGGAGCGAGAACAACCCCAGCATGAAAGCGAATTGACCCCACCTCTCTCGCTCCCCTCACCCCGCATCTTTCTTTGACGCTGGAGGTCTCCTGTCTTGATAAATGGAGGAAAGGCACGTGGCAAGTAAATAGTATTTACCGAATCCCACGTGAATATTGTAATGGTAAATTACACTTAAAAAAAATCAGTTATTTCCTGTATTGTGAAAGTTCTCATCGATCAAATATAGACCACCACATTTAATGCTCGTTCTTGAACAGTTACGAGGTAGAGTGACATATCAAACCGAAGACATCAAGAGGTGATCTCAATCTGTATGGTTCAAATTCCTCTTCTTCTTTTTTTTCTAAAAAGGGTATAAGATAAATCTTGAAGTTTTCTTTGGATTCAAATCATTCGGTCCTCACGCGGCGCGAGAGGTCACGAAGGTTCAATTTGTTACGCGGAAAGATGCAAATCAAAAGAGCATCAGAAATTTGGCAAATGGTAGGCAACTTCCTGAAGTGGGTAGCGCGAGCGTGAACTCTCTCACCTCCTCTCTCTCTCTCTCTCTCTTTGCTGCAAAAGAAGAGCACTCTTTGCCTTCTTCTCTATCCTTTTCCTCGCGGCTGATCATCTTCAATTGCCAAAGTTTATCCAAAGAAGATGGTCCCCGGTTCCTAGGTGGGATTGGACCAGAACAGGAACCGATCATCCGAGTGAGAATGGGTTACCCGAATCTTGTACCCTACGATCTCGCCACGTGGTCATATCCTACATCAACACAAGCTCTTTTTTAAAGAAGCAACGAGGAAGGACTTAGAAAAGGCGACTAGAGAGCTATGTAGCAACGATACGCGACACGACACGACAAGACACGTGACACATCATTTCTCAAAAAATGGAGAATTCTAACACGTTGAGACACGTTGTATATTAAATATATATTTTTATATATACATAATAAATTATTATTTTTAAATTTGATTCAAATAAGTAAATAAATGATTAAAAAAAAGCCTAGAATGAATTGACCCTATAAACATTATACACACGCGAGCTTAGTAAACATAAATTTTCAAAAAATAATTACGTGTAAATAAATATATTAGCTAAGAAATTAAAAGTAAATAATCAAATTAGATAAAAGGGAAAGTACAAGATAAAAATAAAAAAAAAGCAGCCCATTGCTGTTGGAAGCCCAGCCCACTTTCATTTGTCAAAACCCTAATAACATCTTCCGCTCTTTTTCTCCGTCTCCTTCTCTCTCCAGCTTTCATCCTTCGCGCGACCCGCAGCCTCCTCCCACCTCTTCCTTCTCCTCCGTCGCCGGCGAAGCGCTAGGCAAAGGAGATAAGGGCGTCGCCGTCCTCACTCGCTCTCTTTGTTCTTTTCCTCATCGCAGAGGCTTTGTTTAGGGTCTTCTCTCTCTGATCTCACGCCTCTCTTCGCATCTCAGCTCGCGGAAGGTAATCGCCTTTTCATTCTTATTACTTATTAGCACGTCGTTTCTGTTGATTCAGTTGCTTTGTTACTGGAACGATCGGCCGAACTTGTGTGTTACTGCGCCGCCCTTTTTGTCTATTGGGGATTTGAGGGGGTGGCTGCTGAATAGCAGAGGAGGGTCTTTTATGTGACCGGCTCAGATTTTAGTTCGGTGAGAAAAGATTTTCTATACCTAGATCACACCTTGAAGTGAAGTCACCTAACTATTCAGTAAAGTCATACTGCTCGTACCTAGCTCTGCAATCCATGAGCTGGACCTGAGCGCCAATACTCATCGGACTGGTCATGCACAGGATGCAATCATAAATCTGAAGTGCTCCATTACAGGCCCCGTTACCGTAGCAGATCGGGGTCGACCCTGGCCACGGGGATTGCTAGTAATAACTGAACTAATTGTATGCTGTGTTGTCCCTTAAATGGTGAAGAACATCGTCTAGAAATGTTTGAAGAGATCGATGCCCTGATAAGCCGACGTGTTGCAAATATACTGCACCATCCATGTGTCCGGGTCACCCCTCGCGAGCCCGCAAATGCAGAGGAGCATGAAAATTGCAGTCGCTGCAGGTCTATCGAGAATAGCCATTGCCATGACCAGATCGCTACCCAGACACGAGACAAGGTTCAACATATAAAGAGGACAAGTGCTCGTGCTGTGTACGTAGCTGTAGATCCCTCGTCCTTGCCTCGTTACTTGATTCCATTAGCCGAATTCGTCTGCCTTTCTAAAACTTCTAATGAAATAATTTAATCGTGATGATCACTTATCACAATGCTAGAGAAAGCTAATGATTTCTTGCTTTCATCCAAAGGACGGTTTCCAGCTTATTCCAATCCTCTATCCGGCCGAAGATACGAAATGTGGAAACTTGAATGCGTCGTTCTCATAACTCATCGTCTTGAATTTTGAAGCTAACGCAGAGCATGCTATGGAAGGAGGCTCTCGCTCCTTTAATCGTTCAGTGTATTAGCAACTTAGACATAGTCTATGCTTTGAGAAAAATTCTAGGAGCACGTACAAAAAATAACTTTTACAGAAAACTTATCTACAAATCGACATCGTAAAATGTACGTACGTTGAATGTTTAAGTACGTTAATCCGTTTATGTGCGCCTTCGACTTAAAATAACCACGCAATATCTGCTATAACTCTTGTTAAACAAAGTACCTGAAAAGCTCAATTTACTGAAGTATGCTTGAAAGTTTTCAGATGTATTTGGTCCCGGTCTGTTGTGCCAGAACGCTATTGCCCATGCAGCTGTAAGAAATCTAGTTACTAACTGGAACTATAGGCAAGTTTTAGGTAGATGCCTTGTCTTGATCCCTGTTTAAATTTAGAAGATTGAATTGTGTATCGCTTAGATTATTTAATGGCTAGGATATTGTGAAATGGGTACGGTTCTTATTCTATTCTATACATGTAATTAAGCAAGTTCAGAATCCACCGAAAACAACGTGTTCGAGAGGGAGTCCTAAGAAATGATATTGTGTTTCATATACAATGTGAGAAAATCCGAACTCAAAAGCTTAAATTATTAAATTGAGAGACGAAACGCAAAAACAAGTGTGAAGCCTTTTGAGTTAGTGTTTCTATTGGAGAGTTAAGGGCCGTTATGTGCCAACTGACATAAGCTATGTACCATATATCATATCAAACTCGTTAAGTTTTCTCTTGGGCACCTGTTAACCAGTTATATAGGGAAATACTACGATTACCAATACCCAGATTGCATACTCAATCTTGGAAGAATATTTTCTCATTAAGCATGTTTAACAAATTTCCCAGAAGCATTCGTTTACAACTCCCTAAACAATTTGGTCTAACATAGCCAAGTATAGAAATTCCTGAAGAACAATTGATCTTTCATAGCTACAGGCCTTAGGTCAAATTTCACAGCTTATCTTGAAAGGAAAACAAAAGCAGATACAAAGTGTTCTCTGATATAACGCACTTTGCTGCTCGCGAGGGAAAGTTCTTTAATAATTCGAGGGTCCTCAATTATTCTGATTTTGAAACAAGCATTGGAAAAAGATGGTCGTACTTCATTAAATATTTAGCATTATGTTGGTAAGACATTCTTTAGAGCAACTCAGGTCGATCACTTATTCTGTAAAGTCTGCACTGCTCGTTACCAAACTCTGCAATCCAAATACTGATATTCAGGAGGGGCCCTTCATTTGCCTCAAAATCGTGATATTCAGGAAGGGCAAGGAGCACTTAGAGAATGGTAATCCGCGGAAATTGCTAATGGGTACGTCACTTCCACTTGAACTTTTTTATTGATAAATGAATCTTATCCACGCAAGACCGATGAAATGTGGATAAACTTCCACTTCAAGCTTGAAACATCCCCAGAATGTCCCAGTGAACAACATAGCGCCCCAAAGACAACAAACACTAGTACTCCCCAAGATGTCCCCGAAAGCTAAACCAACAACTAAAATCAAACTATCCCAAATTGCCCAATATTTTACAATTCCTCTGTTACAGAGCAAAAAACAAAGAAACCACGACCCCTCTGGCCAATAGTATCAATCACTGAATAATATGCCTACAAATGACTCCAATGTTCAGTCTTTCAAAGCTTGATCACCACCACATAAAATAGACCTCTTATTGCCAACGGGAAATGGCTCAGGTTGATAAGGTTCGGACGCTTTGCAGTGATCATGTCTAGGTTCAATTTCCACTACCAGTAACCCCCCATTAGTGGGCAATCTATTAGTAAACTAAAAGTCTTCAATTTAAGCCTGTGGGAGGCCCTGGTCTGGGAGTTGGCTAACCTCCTCCCCTCCTAAACTCTTTTTTAACAAAATGAAATTCGACAAGCAGCAACGTTAAAGCCTTATAACAAACGTTGTACTTGTAAAAACTATTAATGAGCCAACCTTGTGTAGCCGCCGAAACATGTCAATTAAGGACATAATGGATGAAAATTTCCTCTAATTAGGTGCGCGCATCTAGAGATAAAGATTAGTCAATGATATTTCCTTGACTATAGAGCGAGGTTCACTAAAAAGAACATGTGCATTGGAATGCTCTAAGTTTTAATATTTGATTAACTATTAGACAGCCGCCTAGGAAGACCCATTCATTAAATATTTTGTATTCGAAATCCTTCAGCAAGATGCGTACTTTACTAGCTCTTCATTTAGCCTTTCCATTTGCTTACCTTGATCTTTTTTAGTAGCAGGGAGCATCCTCTCGCCATTTTTGCCAATTGGATTTCCACGGTGATGGGGCAAAGTCTGACCGAGGCAAGAAATGGGATGCACCGTTGTGTTTATCCCTTTGCATTGTTTGTTCTGCTGATTCTTCTGTCTACTTATGCATTTCATGACGTTTCATATCGTTCCTTTCCTAACCATCCTGAGAAGGAGAAAAAGAGTGCAGAAAAAGACAGAGTATTTTGGTTCGTCTGTCTCATACGCACAGAAGAAGGTTATCGATGTACTATAACCGTGATCTTTACGGTGTTCGAGGATGATAACTGCATCCCAACTGGCAAGGAATTTGGTTCACAGATTCTCGATGCCATTACACGGTCTAAGATTTCAATCCCCATCATATATCGATATGATATATTCTTGAGCTTTAGAGGCTCAGATACCCGTAAGGGATTCATAGGTTACCTCCACCGTAGACTGGTCAATGCAGGGATTAGGGTGTTCAAGGATGATAACAGCATCCCAACTGGCAAGGAATTTGGTTCACAGATTCTCGATGCCATTACACGGTCTAAGATTTCAATCCCCATCATATCCGAAAACTATGCTTCGAGTAAATGGTGCCTCCTTGAGCTCATTCACATCATGGACAGCCAGAAGAGCACGTCACACATAGTATTGCCCATCTTTTACAAAGTGCACCCATCTCATGTGCGGTATCTCAAGGGAAGTTTTGGGAAGGCCTTCCATTCGCGGAAAAAATGTTTTGACGAGAAGGTTATCCAGGAAGGGCAACGAGCACTAAGAGAAGTGAGTCAATTACATGGATGGGAATCTGAGAACATTGCTAATGGGTACTTCACTTCCACCTTAACTTTTTGCTTTTTGATAAAAGTATTCTTATTCTGGTAAAACTGGTGTAATATGGATGAATACTTCCACTTCCACTAGTACTCCCTGAAAACTCAACCAACAACTAAAACCAAAGTATCCCATTGTGCGCAAGAATTATACGATAGTCTCTACTCCAGAGTAAAAGCAAAGAAACCACAACCCCTCCGACCGATAGTATTCAACCACTAAATAATATGCCCACAAATGACTCCAATGCTCAGTCTTCAAAAATTTGATCACCACCAAATAAGGTTGACCTCCTATTGCCCACGGGGGCTTAGCTCAGTTGATTAGGATCAGACACTTTGTATTCACCACGTCTAATGTCCATTTCCGCTACCAGTAATCCCCCATTGAAAGGTGATTTGTAAGACAACTATAAGTCCTCGATGTAGGCCTGTGTGATGCCTTGACCTTGGACCGGGGAAAATCGGCCTCCTATCCTTCAACTAGCAGCAACCTTAAGCTTTATAAAAAAGATTATACTTCAAAAACTCTTTATGAGCCGGCTGCACCACCTTATTTTCAACAAGATACATCTATTGGCAGAAAAGGAAGGAGAAAAAAACGAAATGACTGCTACACCATCATCCTTTGTTGTTATTTGTAAAACAAAACATTTTGCATTTTTATTGACGCCATTCATCCTTCACATATATTTGGCTGTCTTTTGATGAGATTAAGTATAACCAAGAAGTTTTAAGGGATAAGTACACTAGAAGTCCTAAAACTTATCACAAAAGTGCAATTGAGTCCTAAAACTTTCAAAAAGTGCAAATAAGTCATAAAACTTATTATGAAAGTGCACTTGAGTCCTAAAACTTTCAAAAAGTGCAAATAAGTCCTAAAACTTGTCATGAAAGTGCAAACAAATCTTAAAACTTGTCACAAAAATGCAAACAAGTCCTAAAACTTTCAAAAAGTACAATCAATGGAAGGACTTGATTGAACCAATTTATCAAGTTTTAGGACTTGTTTGCACTTTCGTGACAAGTTTTAGGACTTGTTTGCACTTTTTTAAAGTTTTAGGACTCAAGTGCACTTTCGTGACAAGTTTTAGGACTTGTTTGCACTTTTTGAAAGTTTTAGGATTCAATTGCACTTTCGTGACAAGTTTTAAGACTTTGAATGCACTTATCCCAAGTTTTAATGAGCTTCGTTGTTTGACAGGCACGAAGTCGAATTAGTGGAGAAAGTCATCAAAGATGTTTTGAGCAAATTGGGACATGATTATCGGCTTGATGTTACTGAGCACTTAGTTGGAATTGGTGATCATGTGAAGAGAATTAAGAATTGGGTCAACAATCCTGCCAGTGATGCTCGAATGATTGGAATCTATGGCATGGGAGGGATCGGTAAAACGACTCTTGCCAAGGTCATCTACAACGAGCTATCAAATGACTTTGTGCATCGTAGCTTCCTTCTAGATATTCGAGAAACGGCTCATCGCAATGGTATTCCTTATCTACAAAATCAACTAATTAAGGATATACTACAAATCGAACATCAAGTTTCGACAGTTGACAATGGAATAAGTTTGATCAAATCTAGATTCAAAGGAGAAAAGGTTCTCATTCTTCTAGATGATATAGATCGCAAAGATCACCTAAATGCTTTGGCTAGAGAGCGTAATTGGTTTACTTCGGGAAGTATTATCATTGTTACAACTAGAAATAAAGTTGTTCTTGATCAATCTAAATTTGAGGTAGACTACAAATGTGAATTGAATGAAATGGATGAGGTGCAATCTTTGCTTTTATTTAATAGACATGCATTTCGTATGAACCATTCTTCGAAAGACTTCGAGGGTATCTCTCGTGATATCATATCCAACATGGGTGGACTTCCTTTGGCTATCGAGGTTGTAGGTTCATCCTTGTATGGAAAAATGGATCCAAAAGTATGGCAAGATATTCTGAAGAAATTAAGAAAAGAACCACATAGAGATGTCCAAAAGATATTGAAGATAAGTTATGATGCATTAGAAGATGCACATAAGCAGATCTTTCTCGACATTGCTTGTTTCTTTATTGGCGAAGAGAGCAAATTCGCCATTTACATGTGGGATGACCGTGAATTTTATCCAAGTGAAGGAATTGAAGAGTTGAAGCTAAGATGCTTAATAAAAGTTGATAAGGATTGTAAGTTAAGGATGCATGATCAACTAAGAGATCTTGGAAGGAATATTATTCGCCTAGAAGGACCGCTTGGAGATCGTAGCAGATTATGGGCCAACGAGGAAGCCTCCAGAGTACTAATGGAAAAAAAGGTAACACATGGCACTCCTTTTTCTTTCCCTCTCCCTTATGTTCTCATATATTTTAATCTTATCTATTCTCTAACATTTATCTACTATGAACAAATGCTCCTCCTCTTTTAAGAAAAAATTCCATTCATGATTCATGTCCATCACAGAGTAATTGTGACAGCTCATTGTATTATAGATATTCTAAGGATGAAGAAGTTATATTATCTCGTGATGCTTACCAAATAGAACATCTCAGATATTCAAAATTCATTAATGTAAATCATATCTGTTGGATATATAATTTGCAACAAATTCAAGATCAATTAACTATGATGCTACACTAGAAATCTCTCGTTTACTAAAAGCTTGTAATTTCCGCTTTTTGGAAAATCTCCCGATATTGTCGGTGATAAGCTCCACTTTTGTCACGTTTCTAGATTATCTGCGTATAATTTCCACATGCATCAAGTGCCACATGCATCAGTTGTCTCGGGCATTACTTGCCTCATGCATCTTTTGATTATTTATTCTTTAAGGAAGGGATTTGGCTTTTGATTTGTCAATTTGAAATAATTCACGATCAAATTATGATGATAACTTGAATCAATTTTAAAAGATGCACGAGTTAACTTTATGGTAATAATATAATAGAGCGTTGACGTTATGCCTGTAAAGAGTTTTGTAGACATTAAGAAAACTTCAAGAACAAAAATAACACCATTACTAGGTCGAAGTTTTCTTTAATGTCTGACATGCATTTTCTTGAATAGGTTGAATGAGGGGCACTACTGGCTTGAAAATTCTTTGCTCTAAGAATGCATTAACAAATAAAAGCTGATTTATAATTTTTAATTCGCCCCTTAGGAAAGCGTGCGCACCAACAATTTTAATTAAGATACCTCTAGCAAACAAATTTACCAAAAGTGGGTACCTAGCTATGTAAATTCCATAGCGGTGAAATATACCATTAACTATCATTGCCAGGTGAGACACGAGCTTAACTAAAACAGGCAACTATTTGAAATTAAAAGTGTAAGGAATCAAACTCTTATCATGCGTCTAATCTACATACGTAAGCACGTTCCTTAACGAGATGCCTCGGGTTGCCCCACAGATATTTCGGCCAAATCTTTCTGGAAAAACTATCTAATGCACCCAACCGTACGAACCAAACATTTCGACCACTAAAAATTTTTCACAACAAAATTTAAAATACTATCTCGAATTTTAAAAGATTATCAAAAAATTTAAATGTGAGTTTATGTATCAATATTTAGATATGACGGGGGCAAAAAGATAACAAATTATGTCGAGTCCAATATTTAGAAAAGCAAAAACTAAAAAATTAAAAGTTCATCTAAGATTCGGTTGATCGATTGGATGTACAGGGAACTGAAAGGATCCAGGCAATTCGTCTCGACCAACAATATGGTCATCTCCAAACATACAAAAGTGAACAGTTTAAGAACATGCAAAGCTTAAGGTTCCTTCAATTGAGGCGGGCGACTTTCAGTGGAGACTTTAACAACCTGTTTCGTGAATTAAGATGGCTTCGGTGGTTTGACATTGAATCCGATCTGTGGTTCTTTTTGCGGACCAACTTGCATCTACCGAATTTAAGGGTGCTGGAGTTGTCATTTGACCAGAAAACAAAGCATTGGACAGGATGGAGTTCAATCAAGGTAAGATGGAAAAAAGAGATCCTCTATAATTTTGTTTGTGTTTTTTTGTCGATCAACTCAATTTTTGATAGCTAATTCTTCTTTTGTATAGACGGCAAAGCGGCTGAAAGTTCTCCACCTAGCACATTGCAATTATTTAAGATGTACTCCTGATCTGTCAACTTTCACAGAATTGGAAATTCTCATCGTGAAAAAAAGTCCCAGACTCGAGCAAGTGCACCCTTCTATTGGCAAAGTCAAGAGCCTCATTTCCCTGGACTTGAGTGATTGTGGCAGTCTCAAGGAGTTACCAAGAGAAGTGGGCGAATTAGAAGAACTAAAAGAACTTAGTTTAGATTTTGCTGGAATTGCAAAATTTCCTACTTCAATCGGTTCTTTAAGGAAGCTAGAGAAACTGAGTTGCGGGGGTTGTCGGTCATTGAGAGAAATCCCTGGCTCAATCGGTGAGTTATCTTCACTCAAGGTACTTGACATCACTAGAGCACCGATATTTGAACTGCCAGAAAGCATCCAGAGTCTTTCTTCTCTTCAACACCTTAGCCTATGGGGTTGTCACGAGCTTCGGTCGCTGCCAAAGCTTCCTTCCAGCTTAACATATCTGACAATCTCTTGTCAAAGTCCCAGGTTGCCCAAACTTTCTTACCTAATCCACCTAGAAGAACTTCATCTTTACGGATGCAATCAACTTGAATCCATCCCGGAGCTTCCCTCAAGACCCTTGAAGCTTTGTGTCGACTCTTGTAACAAGCTAATATTTGCTAAGCTTGACCGATCCAAGTACTTGGAAGAGTTGTCGATAAAAAACTGCAGTTCCATAAAAAGATTGGACCTTTCACAATTAAGTCATTTGAAACGCTTACACATTGAGGATTGCAACAATTTAGTTGAGATTCAAGGCTATGATGAATTGGAGTCCTTGGAGGAAATAGTTATATATCGCTGCAAGTCCATTGAAAGGATGATCCTTCCAGGATTACAGTGTTTGAAGCAATTGAAGGTTAGCTCTTGCGACAATCTAGTCGAAATTCAAGGCCTTGATATGGCAAAGTCGTTAGAGGCATTAGATATCTCTGATTGTGGATCCTTTGAAAGATTACCCGACCTATCATGTTTTGCGACCCTAACAGAGTTGAACCTAGCAGGGTGCAAAGCCCTAAAGACACTACCAAACCTATCGAAATTTGAAAATTTAGAGAATTTAACGATGAGGTATCTGCTGGGTGTCACGGAGATTGTTGGGGTGGAGGATTCAAAATCTCTAACACACATAGATATCACGGGATGCAAATCAATGGAGATTTTGCCAGATTTGTCGGGCTGTGAGAAGTTACAATCTCTAGTGTTACGAGACTGCAAGAAACTCACTCAGCTTCAAGGACTTGAAAAGTTGAATTTAATTTATTTGGATATTTCCGGGTGTGACTCATTGGAGACGATACCGAAGCTACCTGGAACACGCATCTTTAGAAATTACGAAAGAGCATGGTATGAAGTTCACTACGGAAATATTATACTGCGATGATAATGACGTGATGAATCTTATATCCAAATTACAATATTGAGACAAGTGATGGTTCCTTAATAGAGGTAAATAAGAGGTGAACTATCATTTTTTTATAGGAAAAAAACCACCAAAAATCCCAAATTTTACCACTTGTGACACATTTACCCCGAACTTTTTTTTGTGCCATGAAAAATCTCAAATTATGCAACTTGTGACACATTTACCCCAATATACTGTAGCCTAGAGCATTTTAGTCTTTTTTCCCTTTTTCTATTTTTTTTCTTTTTCGGGCGGGGGCTGCCCTCGCCGGCGAGGTCTCCGGCGACCTCGCCTGGGCAAGGCGAGGGCTGCCCGTCGGCGTCGGGCGAGGGCTTCCCTCGCCCCGCCCAGGCAAGGGTTGCCCTCGCCCGACACCAGCAAGGGCAGCCCTCTCCTGACACCGGCAAGGGCAGCCCTTACCTGGGTGGGGCGAGGGTTCCTCGTCCTCGCCTGGACGAGGCGAGGGCTGCTTGCCGGCGTCGGGTGAGGGCTTCCCTCGCCTTGCCCAAACGAGGGCTGCCCTCGCCGGCGTCGGGCGAGGGTCCCTCGCCCTCGCCGGAAAAAAAAAAAACAGAAAAAGACTAAAATGCCCTAGACTACAGTATATTAGAGTAAATGTGTCACAAGTTGTATAGTTTGGGATTTTTCATGGCACAAAAAAAAGTTCGGGGTAAATATGTCACAAGTGGTAAAGTTTGGAATTTTTGGTGGTTTTTTCCCTTTTTTATATGAGATTCATGATATACTTTTCATCACTATCTTCTTTTGACAAGAAAGTTTTCCTTGACAGGGTTCTGTAATTTCCTGAATTTCATAGTCTTACATAATCAAAGGAGTGGAGGTGTTGGTCGTAGAAGCTGACATGAAGCCAAGATCAAGATGTAAACCAAAATATGGGTCTACGAACAATAGAAGACATTGGTCATCTAGTAAGATTCTTCATTCAACGAGAGCAAATAGAGTAATATTCTTCTCGAAGCTATATTTGTTAAGAATGATTTGATCCACACTGAGTATTTATTTAATTAATTTTGGAAACTCCGGACTTGCCTACGAATACTTGCTTTCGATTGCATTACAGCAAAGTTTCTTGTTCACCCTTCCGTTGATAACTTCAATGAATGAAAATATTAACATAAGTAAATCAGAATTACCTAGTGTCCCTCACGGAAAATTCAGGATTTGACTTCTTCATCTATAGGCCGATGATCTTCTGCCCCTCAATATTGTAAACTGTGCCTAGAATCCATTTTTCGCTCTGTCCAAAATTAATTTTTTTTCTTTGGAAAAAATCTTTGGCCAATTTGAATTCCTTGGGAGTTCTTTTGCATGTTGTCATGGATCATTTTGTCACATGATTGATTTGGTCTGGCTAACTTGGCTGAGAAAGTTCAAATTCCATACCAGAGACCCGATCAAATGAAGAAGAGGGATTTTGCTGAGGAAGCATTAGCAACAGGTGGAGGGCCATCTTGTGTGCCAGCCTTGAAGAGGCTCATGGGCCAACTGAAGTGTCCTGAGGAAATTTTATGCTTGTGAAGATAACACTTAATCTGGTCTCAACTGAACATACCTGAATGATTGTGAATGTAATCTTTTCATTTGAATCTGCTTTTTGTATGCTCATTAGGTTTTACCTCTCTGTTAATCAAATTCGTACATGCTGACTTTTCAATTGATTGTGAAGATTGTGTTTGATGCAGTTGCATTCTAATGACGCCACTCCTGAACATGATGAGGCTCTGCAGAGGGAGATTTGCGCTGCCGGTCGTAACTATGAAAGAGTAACTTGTGTACTTATACTATATGAGCGGTGGAATTTCACCTTTGAATCTGTACACAAGGATGCATGACTACAATCTCCTCCATTTTTTATATTATTCGCATCAGTTTTGTTCCTAATCACAAACAAGGAAAGTGTTGCTAATTGCTTAGTTCTCCCAAGCCTGTTGTTTTCTTTTTCATCGGCGGCTAATTAAGTCGGTTGATTGAGGTCCAACTGTGAACCAATCAGAGACACCTGGAATGTGTGGCGAGATATGTCCCAAGATTTTGGTGTTGGTGCAAATTATGCTTATGCATTGGTGCCTTATCTTTCACGGGGAAAATTGTGATGCTACGATCTCAAATATCTTCATTTATTGATAATTAGTTAGTCCTATCCTTCTTTTGTAGATTCAAGCTGCATTCGTGAAATTTGGAGAATGTCCCAAAACACCACGAAATGGAGATGCGGGCAGGATCGAGCTATGGCGCGAGACATTGTAGAAAGCCGTTCAAAAGTTCCTTAACTATTGGCATTGATCGTGCGCCCAGTGTTGTTAATACTCTTCATAGGATTCTTGATATAAAAGCTCAAGAGAAGTCCAAGTAGCTTGTTGAGCCAAGTTCAAATCTACAAGTACTAAATCATATAAAACGTGGATCTAGTTAACGAGTCAAAACACTTGTTAAGCATTCTCGACATGAACTAGTTGCTTAACTAGTGCCTCGGCAGTTGTTATTTACAATTGACAAAGTAATAGTTTCTTAATTTACCTTTTTTTACCTTCGTATACTCATTTCGATAGACCGATCTCCAAAAAAATCCAGTAACACAGTGTTTCTTACACTACTTTCGTCTTTGGCCGGAAAAAAACACCAAGTTCTCGAAGTGTCGCCTGTAGAAATGACCGTTTCCAGTCTTCCTGTTAGTGTCCGAAAAAGAGAAAAAAATGAACGTTTCTACTGCTGTGATAGTGTTATTGAAGCAACAAATCAAAAGGCAAAAAATCAGTTGCAATGCAAAATCTTCTACAAATCAGTATTAAGATAACATATCAAGCAGAGTATCCGCAAGTTGATCATTTGAAGATCTTTTCTGATTTGTCTTTTATTCAATTTCCTTGTAAATCAAATTGTATATTTTATCTTTAACTTCTACTATAATTATAGGTGATGATATCTCTATTATACTGTACAACATATCAATGAAAAGCAACGCTTCATCAACTCAATTTTTTATTTTCTTTAGTTGTGCATAGAATAATAAACTTTTTTCATTTTACCAATTTACCGTTTTGCTTTGGGTCTATTTGATGTTATTTTGCACGTCGAATGATTCAGGCATTCCAGCAGGCAGTGTCTCTTCCGGAGTCTTCGATTGGATTAGTAGAAATGTCACATTTTACAGCTTATATGTTACGGAACGACGTCCCCAAGAATTTGTTTTTATAATTTTGAGCTGAATATAAAGATACATATATGAAACTTGGTTCTGATATTTTGTGATAACAACTTTGGTTAGCACATGAAGGAACGTTATATTGCGTTCTTTTCCCTTTTTCTGATGATGTAGGACCGCTGCTTCAGTGAAGAAACTCTAAACATGTGAGGACCGTGTTAATTAACGTAAGTGGAGTTAGATAAGGTGCATGAAAGCTGATTCAGACACCAACTTATCGCTAAATTAAACGTAATTAATGTAATGAATTAAGAAAACTGCAGGTTGAAGTATGGGTGGCGAAATGCATTTTCTGTCACTAATAATGTGATTGTGTGAAGATCGATTCCATAACATAGGCTTAATCCACGTGTGCAAGTTCTTTGTGAATCGCTAAACTGATCACCTGGGTAATTTCGGGGGAAAATAATCATGATTTAGGGGAAATTATTCAATCACTCCTAAATTTATTGTATGAATGTCAATTCAATCCTAAATTTTTCAATTTTGCTAATTTAGTCCTAAACATTTCCATGAGGTTCCAATGTAGTCCTTTTCAGCCAATTCTCATAGGAAATTGCTGACATGGCGGTGTGCCACGTAAGAGAACCGATGATGATTGTCTAGTCACATCAGCGATTTCCAAGGAAAATTTTACCAAAACGACAATACTGGAATTTCACGCAAAAATTTTGGACTAAATTTTGCATTGGCATTCATGCAATAGATTTAGCACCGATTGGATAATTTTTCCTCATGAGTCATGACATTTGAATCAACAAAATGAGAAGATTTTTTTTCCCACCTTGAAGTTGTCCCCATTTTCCCACAGAGTAGAATTTACAATTCGGTTCTCATCTTGGGGGGCTGTCCTGGTCATAATCGACATAAGTGGGTTCCAGAAGTAATGTTACTAACTTCTCTTTGAAATTGAAAGCGACTTATTGTTAATATGACTAGTCTTTCTATGCTTATCTAATCATCTTGTCGTGCAATTGAGTAAAACATGCGATTGATTAGCAGTTCCCTTCTACGAGGACATAGAAAGACAATGATTTACGATTTAACTAGACAATAATTAGCCAGATCCCGGGAATCACGGGCAAAGACTAGATGTGCCATGTCCAAGTCGTACCTAAAACCTTAATTGATGCAAAAGTAACCCTTCCCATCATTAAGTGGAGAGTATATGATGGAGCATAATAGACCAAGCTAGCTAGTTGCTGATAAATCTCATGACAAATTAGCTGATATTTGGGTTTTGGAATTAGAAAGAACAAAATGGAATGAGTGAAATTGCGCAAGACAAGCATCAAATCAAAGCAGATATCAATCAACTAGTTCTCGGGCCTGAGGTCAAATGTCGTGACTCATCTTCAAAGGAAAACAAAGAGGGAAGCAATACTTGTTTCCACGCCATGTTGGATGAATCCCTCAATTCCTCGTAAAGGTCTCGTGGCATCGTAAATGTACATACATGAGAAAGTCTTTTGTATGACATTTATATCAAGTGACATGTCGATTTGATGTATTACATCTTATTGTGTATCCTCAGTATTCAACACATACTCACAACCACATCAACATGTCACGTAACATAACGTTACATAAAAAATTTTCTATACCTAGATCACACCTTGAAGTGAAGTCACCTAACTATTCAGTAAAGTCATACTGCTCGTACCTAGCTCTGCAATCCATGAGCTGGACCTGAGCGCCAATACTCATCGGACATAAAGTGCGGATCTGCATTACAGCACTGGTCATGCACAGGATGCAATCATAAATCTGAAGTGCTCCATTACAGGCCCCGTTACCGTAGCAGATCGGGGTCGACCCTGGCCACGGGGATTGCTAGTAATAACTGAACTTATTGTATGCTGTGTTGTCCCTTAAATGGTGATGAACATCGTCTAGAAATGTTTGAAGAGATCGGTGCCCTGATAAGCCGACGTGTTGCAAATATACTGCACCATCCATGTGTCCGGGTCACCCCTCGCGAGCCCGCAAATGCAGAGGAGCATGAAAATTGCAGTCGCTGCAGGTCTATCGAGAATAGCCATTGCCATGACCAGTTCGCTACCCAGACACGAGACAAGGTTCAACATATAAAGAGGACAAGTGCTCGTGCTGTGTACGTAGCTGTAGATCCCTCGTCCTTGCCTCGTTACTTGATTCCATTAGCCGAATTCGTCTGCCTTTCTAAAACTTCTAATGAAATAATTTAATCGTGATGATCACTTATCACAATGCTAGAGAAAGCTAATGATTTCTTGCTTTCATCCAAAGGACGATTTCCAGCTTATTCCAAGCCTCTATCCGGCCGAAGATACGAAATGTGGAAACTTGCATGCGTCGTTCTCATAACTCACCGTCTTGAATTTTGAAGCTAACGCAGAGCATGCTATGGAAGGAGGCTCTCACTCCTTTAATCGTTCAGTGTATTAGCAACTTAGATATAGTGAGTCTATGCTTTGAGAAAAATTCTAGGAGCACGTACAAAAAATAACTTTTACAGAAAACTTATCTACAAATCGACATCGTAAAATGTACGTACGTTGAATGTTTAAGTACGTTAATCCGTTTGTGTGCGTCTTCGACTTAAAATAACCACGCAATATCTGCTATAACTCTTGTTAAACAAAGTACCTGAAAAGCTCAATTTACTGAAGTATGCTTGAATGTTTTCAGATGTATTTGGTCCCGGTCTGTTGTGCCAGAACGCTATTGCCCATGCAGCTGTAAGAAATCTAGTTACTAACTGGAACTATAGGCAAGTTTTGGGTAGATGCCTTGTCTTGATCCCTGTTTAAATTTAGAAGATTGAATTGTGTATCGCTTAGATTATTTAATGGCTAGGATATTGTGAAATGGGTACGGTTCTTATTCTATTCTATACATGTAATTAAGCAAGTTCAGAATCCACGTAAAACAACGTGTTCAAGAGGGAGTCCTAAGAAATGATATTGTGTTTCATATACAATGTGAGAAAATCCGAGCTCAAAAGCTTAAATTATTAAATTGAGAGACGAAACGCAAAAACAAGTGTGAAGCCTTTTGAGTTAGTGTTTCTATTGGAGAGTTAAGGGCCGTTATGTGCCAACTGACATAAGCTATGTACCATATATCATATCAAACTCGTTAAGTTTTCTCTTGGGCACCTGTTAACCAGTTATATAGGGAAATACTACGATTACCAATACCCAGATTGCATACTCAATCTTGGAAGAATATTTTCTCATTAAGCATGTTTAACAAATTTCCCAGAAGCATTCGTTTACAACTCCCTAAACAATTTGGTCTAACATAGCCAAGTATAGAAATTCCTGAAGAACAATTGATCTTTCATAGCTACAGGCCTTAGGTCAAATTTCACAGCTTATCTTGAAAGGAAAACAAAAGCAGATACAAAGTGTTCTCTGATATAACGCACTTTGCTGCTCGCGAGGGAAAGTTCTTTAATAATTCGAGGGTCCTCAATTATTCTGATTTTGAAACAAGCATTGGAAAAAGATGGTCGTACTTCATTAAATATTTAGCATTATGTTGGTAAGACATTCTTTAGAGCAACTCAGGTCGATCACTTATTCTGTAAAGTCTGCACCGCTCGTTACCTTACTCTGCAATCCAAATACTGAAGCATAGCGCCCGCACTCATCAGACACAAGTCGTCAATTTATCTTTGTATTCCATTCCCCGCATTCATAAATCCTGAGTGCTGAAATGCAGGCTCCATGACCACAACAGATCGGGGTCAACCCAGGCCACGGAGACACGTAATCTTACGCCATATCGTCCATTAAATGACGGGAGAACATTGTTCTAGGTTAATTTTGAAGA